TCCTTACTGACCGTGATTAAAGTCGTGTCATCCATAAATGCACATAGTGGGGTCATCCAAGGGTCCCCAATCTGAAGGCCCTGCCCGCAGCCGGCCGCCCCGTCTAGCATAACGAACAATAGTCTTACAATAGCTGAGCGTTTACCTTGTCGGTTGAAGTATTTAAAAAAAAATACTGCAAAACAACAATCCGATAACGCTCAACGCTCAATGGAAAGATGAGGCTGATAAACAATCAGATATCTAATGGTACCATCGGAATTGGAACTCTGCGCTTTTTGCTGAAGATGAGGACGGAGCGCTTATGGGAATGTCTCGAGTGCTGTGATATCGACTCTCAATTAAACATTAAACACAGACAAGACACTGAATGCCTCCTCTCTAATAGGTATAGAAGTAGATGTTTCGTTTTCAGTCACATGATTAGTTTGAGGATGTAATCAAACGCTTTGAAAAAAAAAAAAAAAACAGTACGAGAAAACGTTTCACATATAAATAAAGTGGAAGGATAGGAAAATCAGACATTATTTTTCCACCTTATTATAATACTTGTTTAATTTCGACAAAAAAAAATTGTGTTTTAATTTTTATTATCGTTTATTTTTTTAATTACATTTATGGGAGCACCAGTCACGTCTTAACACATGTGAAAGATCTACTGATTTAATTTTAACTGTTTTCTGTATAACTCTTAAAATATCACCCAGCAAGGATCATTGTATTCTTATTTACTTCAAATAAGCAAAAATGCAAGCTACTTGTTATGAGGGTAAAACATGTGACACCATGTTGAGAATGCAGTAAATATTAATATATAATTTCCTTCTTTTATATTCCAGTACAGATTATATATATATATATATATATATATATATATATATATATATATATATATATATATATATATATACATACATACACTAATATCAGCACGAATGTGAAAGCACAGTATAGTCACATTTTATATTGTATTTAGCACTTCTTGTCAATAATTCGACTGCAGTGACAACCTAGTTTCATCGTCAATGGTAGAAGTCCATTTTACGACATCGTGATTCTGTGAACAGCTGTCTACGAACTGAGAAGATATGTGTTTGCTTTAACTCATTTGGTCCCAGTCAACACTCAAAGTAGAGTAAAGCCTCGCTTAACGAGCACCTCTCATAACGAGTAATTCGTTTAACCATTAAAACAAATTGTAAGAGAATAACTTGCTTAACGAGCGACGTTTCGCATAATGAGTGATGAGGATAGAGGTATATTGAATTAATTATTAGGAAGATAATAGGGAAATATATTTGTGTGTGTGTGTGTGTGTGTGTGTGTGTGTGTGTGTGTGTGTGTGTGTGTGAAAAGTTTAATAAACCCTTGCAAAATGTTCCCCGAAAAAAAAAAGCCGCAAAAAAACAACAATCATGAGAGTAAACACAACCAAACAAATTAAACATCAAATCATTGAAAAGCGAGAACGAAGTGTAAGCGTGGCTGATCTAGCACGCACATACAATCGGTTTACATCAATGATTTGCACTATCCTCAAGAACAAGGACAAGATTAAGGAGATAGGTGCTTCACAGGAAGTGACAAGAATATGGGCGCAACGGTTACGTATTCTCGACAATGTTGAAAGGTTGCTTCTCATATTAATAAATTTAAAGCAATTGCAAGGTGACACTATTAACGAGAACATCATTTGTGAGAAGGCGAAAATGATTTTCGCCGACTTCGTTAAGAAGACACCAGGATCATCATCGGCCGAAGAAGAAGTTTTCAAGGGAAGCCGTGGGTGGTTCGAGAAGTTCAAGAGGAGAACTGGCATCCACAGCGTTGTGAGGCACGGTGAAGCGGCAAGTTCCGATACAAAAGCAGCAGAGAACTTCATCGGCGATTTCAAGAAGCTCGTAGATTCTGAAGGTTTTTTGACGCAACAGGTTTTTAATTGTGACGATATTGAACAACGTCTACTTTTCCTTCTCTATCAAGGGCTTGTGCTTAGCGTCATTGACTATGGTCTCGGCCTCCTCACTGTCAGCAAAACCCAGCTAGAAAGACTGGACCGAGTACAGAATGAGGCCATGAGACTCATACTCGGCTGCACAAAAGACACCTCCTGCAACGCCATGCGTTATATCCTGGGTCTGCCGACTATGACAAGCAGATACAAAGTGGCACAGGTCAAGGCTTACATGAGGGTATCGGCAGATTTTAACCACCCATTACACAAAGCTATTCACGACACAAAAGGAACGCGTCTCAAAAGGGGCCGCTCTTGGATGGCAAAGGCTGAGGACTTAATCCAGCAGGTATGTGACCTAGACGTGATCAGCCACGGAAAAGAATGGACGAATACACCAGTAGACATGCATGGCATTTCTAAGGTTGTCATCACACTCGGAAGGTACTGCAGGGATCAAATTCCCGCGGCGGTAGACACAGAAGTAAGGGAACTGATAGATCAGCATTCAGACCCAGAAGATATCATCATCTACACAGATGGATCTGTGAAGCGTGGATCAAGGTCAGCATGGGCATACACAGCGCAAAGAAAGGGGAAAACAATACATGAGGACAGCGGCGCTTACCAGACAACCACGTCAAGCATGACAATGGAAATAGCCGCTGCTTCTAGAGCTTTAGCATGGGTATCCGAGCAAACCGCCACACAGGTAGTAATTGTCTCAGACTCAATGAATATGCTTCAGAAGATAGCAACAGGCAGTATGCGCTCTGAATGGATAGAAAGCATCAGGAAATCGCACTTAACCTCCGTAACCTGGATCTACACACCGGGTCATGCGGGCGTGAAGGGAAATGAGCGAGCAGACCAACTGGCAAGCACTGCACTAATGATTGCAGGAAAAAGTATGGACAGAGCAGACATAGTCAACGCTGTACGAACCGGGCTAGTGGAGAATGAGGAATCCCTGACACTAACACGATTGCGTGACATGGGAGTTAAGCATGGTGATGCACGTCTTTGCCGTCTTCGAGGCCGAGAAAGGAGACAATATAACCAGCTTCTCATGGGGACAATTAGTAGAAGTACTTTAGAGTGGCTGCTGCTTCGGAGAACTGAGCACGCATGGGTATGCCCAATGTGCAGTGACATTAATTGTGATAACAGAACATAAAATAACATCTTAGTAGGGAGTCGGCAGTACGAAACCCAAGTTCAAGGTGTCTCCTTCGTGCCAAAGAACTGCATGGCTGTTGGGTGAACAGTCGTTAACGAGGGCAGGCAGGTCGTTGTAGGGGCGACGCCTGCTGGTGGATGTAATGTCCTAAGTCCCTTCCCCAGCTAATAATGAGGGTACTGCTGGGGTGACCGTTTATTAACCCTCATATAATTCTTCCGGTCAAAATGGACGCTAGGTACGGCCACCTTTTTTTTTTTTTTTTTTTAAAGCCGTGGCAAATATTTTTCCAGACGGTGGCCGTTGCATTTTTGCTCCATTTGTAGACTGGAAGGATGTAGTTTCGTCGCCCAGCTTCTGAGTTGAGTGCATGGCGTGACACTGTGAGCTGCGTTTGTTTTTCGTTGGCACAGGAGCAGAGCATGTGTGGGGTGACCCGTTTGCTATGAAGCTAAAACTAGGATTACCAGATTACCAGATTACCAGAATTGTGACGAAACAGGCCTCTTCGGGAAAAGTTGCCGAAGCGAACGCATATAACAGCAGAGTAGAATGCATTGCCTGGCCACAAGTCAAAGACCGTCTCACGTTGCTATTTTGTGCCCATGCAAGCAGCGATTTGAAGATTAAACCGCTGCTTGTTTACCATTTAGATACTCCACAAGCCTTTAATAAATGCAAAATCCAGAAGAGCAGGCTAAATGTGATGTGGGGGTCCAACAGGAAGGCTTGGGTGACACGATACCTTTTTACTGAGTGGATCAAGGAAGTGTTTGGTCCTTCTGTGAAACAATATTTGCTTGACATGAATCTGCCACTCCATGTCTTGCTTGTTATAGATACCGCTCCTGCCCATCACAGTATACTACAAACATTTCGGACCCCGACGAGTAGGCAGGTAGAGAAAAGTAACAACACAAACAAAAATGTTCGCAGTATACTACAAACATTTCCGACCCCGACGAGTAGGCAGGTAGAGAAAAGTAACAACACAAACAAAAATGTTCACAGTATACTACAAACATTTCCGACCCCGACGAGTAGGTAGGTAGAAAAAGTAACAACACAAACAAAAATGTTCGCAGTATACTACAAACATTTCCGACCCCGACGAGTAGGCAGGTAGAGAAAAGTAACAACACAAACAAAAATGTTCACAGTATACTACAAACATTTCCGACCCCGACGAGTAGGCAGGTAGAGAAAAGTAACAACACAAACAAAAATGTTCACAGTATACTACAAACATTTCTGACCCCGACGAGTAGGTAGGTGGAAAAAAGTAACAACACAAACAAAAATGTTCGCAGTATACTACAAACATTTCCGACCCCGACGAGTAGGCAGGTAGAGAAAAGTAACAACACAAACAAAAATGTTCACAGTATACAACACACATTTCCGACGCCGACGAGGAGGTAGGTAGGTAGAAAAAGTAACAACACAAACAAACATGTTCACAGTATACTACAAACATTTCTGACCCCGACGAGTAGGTAAGTAGAAAAAAGTAACAACACAAACAAAAATGTTCACAGTATACTACAAACATTTCCGACCCCGACGAGTAGGTAGGTAGAAAAAAGTAACAACACAAACAAAAATGTTCACACTATACTACAAACATTTCCGACGCCGACGAGTGGGTAGGTAGAAAAAGGAACAACACAAAAAAATTTTCACAGTATACTACAAACATTTCCGACCCCGTCGAGTAGGTAGGTAGAAAAAAATAACAACACAAACAAAAATGTTCACAGTATACAACACACATTTCCGACGCCGACGAGGAGGTAGGTAGGTAGAAAAAAGTAACAACACAAACAAAAATGTTCACAGTAAACTACAAACATCGCCTGGTATTACCTGTATTTGGGGCGTAGTCTCCGATGTATCTCTTGGTAATGTACCGAACTGTGAACGCTGGAAGGAGAGAAGATATACTTTAGCACGCAGTAAGCCCTTGTTCTGAGATGTTTATACTTATTTAGGAGAGGTAATCTCAGTGGTTAGGTGGGCAACTTGTCTTCGGTTTGGCCAGCTATGCGAGAAACAAAAATCGTCACGTTCAACCAATATCCCTGAAGGGGGAGCTTTAGGTTATAATTGTGACTAAGTTATGTGCATCATATAAAATAGCTTAGCATTGTTGGCCACCAAGTAGCCCTGAAAAGCACTCTTGCAGTGTTTCCATTCCATTCTATAAAAATAATCACAAAATCGACCACCTTCAACCTGCGAGCCGCCAAAAGTATCAGGTTATATTTGTGGTCTGCTTTATTTGCAACACTTTCGTGGCTAAGATTGAGGTATGTGCGCCAGCTCTCTGGCTTGATGTTCCTATCCTAGTAGCTAGACCACTCCTTCCTGTTCTTGTCCCAGTGTGTTCTTCTTATATTTTCCTTCCAGACGTTTTTCCTCGTGGGGCATCCTCCATCCGGTTCATTCTCCTTATTATTTGTCCTTTTATCCCTCAAAGTGTTTTGCAGTGTTGAGGCGATCCAGACCTTAATACTGTCTTGATCAGCGACGAAGTGGTCTACCAGCGAGCTAATGAACAACTCGGTCGCCGATGGGTGAGCCGTCTGCCTTGCTCACCAAATATCGTTGGTTCGTTTCATAGACTACGTCGTTCGATTCGAGGGTGCAATTTTTTTTAGAGATCCATATATCATCGAAAGAGCTACGGAATTTGTGTTTTGTGCGACGCACTCAGCAGGAGGCTAGGCGTTATATGAAGAATGAACAGGCCCAGCCATAGTGGATAAAAACTAGATGCAATTGAGTCGATCCTCTCAACTTGTAACTATGTTAGTCCCAGAAGATGTTTAAGGAATTGTCTACAGTATAGGACATACCCAGACGCAACAATGCTTACTCCTAGTTCGACCCAGCCTAAAATGAGTAACAGGTAATTTTTTTTAAGTAAAGGCGGTGAGAATGATATTGACTACATCACTCTTTGAGATCTATAAAAATGTGTCTAGCATCATATGTCCTTTGAAACTACTGGCATAAAATATACTTTATTTATATGCTGAGTAGTCCTTACATCTTCTAGTATGTCAATAAAGTATAGATGCACTGACGTATAATTTCTTTAGTTAGCTGCCTCTACAGGAGTGGGCAGAACCAACCCCAGCAAGACCGTAGCTAGGTAAGCAAGTAAGTTGGTAGCAGCGGCCCTAAAACATGGGAGCTAAAGTATCTTGGGCCCCAAAACGTTTTAGGCTAGTAGGCAAGTCCCTGTCATACCCCTCCCCCCACCCTCTTCTCATTTTTCTTTGGGGGGGGGGGGAAGGGGTGAACATTTTGAAATTGGAAATTTTTTCAAAGTGTTCACCCACCTTTACCGTTAAAGAAATTTACTTTCAAATACTTGTTTTTACATTTCTTGACAGAGCTGATATCATTAACTCTCTACGGTGTAGATGGGGTGGGGGTGGGGGGTGTGGGGTTGGGGGGGGGGATCTGACGCTAACATGACTGCGTGACCGAGGAGTTAAGCTTGGTGAAACATGACGATGCCGTCTTCGAGGCAAAGACAGGAGAGACTATAACCAACTCTTCATGGGAACAACCAGTAGAGGTACCTTGGAGTGGATGCTGCATCGTAGAACCGAGCACTCATGGAGAAGCCCATTATGCAAATACGTCGATTTTGATAACATAACATAACCCCAGCCTTTATTGGCTCTTTCTGGTCCTACTAAACAATTTTACATTTGGTAGCTTCCCCATTGCCCTCTGAACGGTCAGCTCTCGCTACCCCCTGTCGACATTAACGCAAGGCAATCTGCTGCCAAATCGCCCGCAGTTGGAATCGAACCCAGTACCTAGAAATTACGAAGCGAGTTCAGAACGCCTAAGCCACAGCCGTCTATCTTCCCTACATGTTCAAGTCTGGATGTGGCCACTGGCGCAGCTGGAACCTGGAGACTTAGGCACCTTGATAGCCCTCCCTCTCCCCCACCCCCCCCCCCCCCCCCCCCACCCCCCAGAACATTTTAGTTTCACATGCGCAAATTGCCACCCTACTTCTCCCCTCCCCACTTATAAACCATGCAGAGAGGCTCTCTCTCTCTCTCTCTCTCTCTCTCTCTCTCTCTCTCTCTCTCTCTTTCTTAATACTCCTCCCCCTTCCCTTCCCACACCCAGTTGGGTATCCTTTACAGGACGTTGCAGAACCAACCGCTGCATTTTATTGTTGCTGTTATTGTTGTTGCTGTTGTGGTTTTTCTAAACAAATTTTACGTTCAATAGTTTGCCATTGCCCCTGAAAAGTCAGCTCTCGGCACCAATGTCGAAACCAACGCAAGACAAATCGTTGGCAGCTGGAATCGAACCCCCCCCCCCTCCCCACCCCCACTCCGCATTATGTTATCTCATGTGCAGTCAGTTCAATATCGTGGACGGAATCCAGTCCAGCAGCTTTGGTCTCTCTCACCAACTTTAGTTTTAGGGTTTCTTTTGCACACCATCCTTCCCTAATACCTCGATTTCCAATTTAAGTGCTTTGATTAAAATAATACCGGATAGTGTTCTGGGTAAAAAAGGCGTCCGGCGTGATGTTGACAGTATCACCTACCGACTGCTGACTGGCCTATAAAACATATGAGTGCAGCAGCATCTGCCAGCTGCCCCACTGCCATGTAAATGGTCCTTTGCTTTTTTTTTTTCAGAAGTCTCACTAGGCCTAAAGAGTTGGACAAGGCACCTTTAACTCTTTGGCTTATTTACTTACTTAGTCGCTCCTCTTCTACCTTGGGGTGTTCAGGTTTTCCAGAGAGATCTTCGGCTACCACATATATTCCTGAGACGTCACTTGCGTCTTAAACGTTGCGAACGCGCTTTGTAATGCCGGGGTGTTGGGGTGCCGGGGTTCGATCTCAGTTGCAGGCATTGCGCCTAACGTTGGTTTCGACGGTGGTATCGAAAAGCTGACTGTCCAGCAAGCATTTTCCTAAAAAAAACACAACAGCCAAAAACAAAACTATGCTGTTCTACAAAGTCCTGTGAAGAATACACAACTAACTTTAACTTTACCCATCACATTTCTAGAAGCAGGATCTGCCATGCGACCTCACCCTCACCTTGTCTGCTTCCATTAATTTCTGTCTGACTGCTTTTTATGCAGGCTTTCATTGCTGTAATGTCATAGCCGCTAGGCTACAGGAAAGGTCAGCAAAACAGTCATTATTGTCAAGTTTCTTGGCTTCCGGTGTAGATTCCTGACTTCATTTGCGAGAGAGGGAGTGGGAAGAGACCGATCTCCTTTCAGAATCCGCTCAGTAAAAAGCGCCTACTTAAGCGTTTGTAGGCACTGGAAGTGTTGGGTCGAAGGCAACCGATATCGTGGCCTTGCTGTAAACTACAACACATAGCAGTCCACTCTTTTTAAGGGTGAAAAGAGTAGTAGTAGTAGTAGTAGTAGTAGTAGCAGCAGCAGCAGCAGCAGCAGCAGCAGCAGCAGCAGCAGCAGCAGCAGCAGCAGCAGTATTAGTAGTAGTAGAAGAAGAAGAAGAAGAAGAAGAAGAAGAAGAAGAAGAAGAAGAAGAAGAAGAAGAAGAAAGAAGAAGAAGAAGAAGAAGAAGAAGAAGAAGAAGAAGAAGAAGAAGAAGAAGAAGAAGAAGAAGAAGAAGAAGAAGAAGAAGAAGAAGAAGAAGAAGAAGAAGAAGAAGAAGAAGAAGAAGAAGAAGAAGAAGAAGAAGAAGAAGAAGAAGAAGAAGAAGAAGAAGAAGAAGAAGAAGAAGAAGAAGAAGAAGAAGAAGAAGAGAAGAAGAAGAAGAAGAAGAAGAAGAAGAAGAAGAAGAAGAAGAAGAAGAAGAAGAAGAAGAAGAAGAAGAAGAAGAAGAAGAAAAAGAAGAAGAAGAAGAAGAAGAAGAAGAAGAAGAAGAAGAAGAAAAAGAAGAAGAAGAAGAAGAAAAAGAAGGAGGAGGAGCAGGTGGAGAAAAAAGAGGATGGAGACAAGGCGAAAGAAGAAGAAAAGTCATGTCTTTTGACACGCCATTTCTTCAGGCCATTGTTTTTGTCTCTCCAACTTCGCCCTCTATCTCTAAGTCTCCCTTTATCCCCCCCCTCTCTCTCTCTCTCTCTCTCTCTCTCTCTCTCTCTCTCTCTCTCTCTGCCAGTCTCTTTCCACCCCCTCCGCCCCACCTTTATTTCGCAAGCATTTATTTGTTGAAATGTTTAAAAGGGGAAAAAAATAATTTACTTCCAGAAACAAAATCAGTGATTGAGAGACCTAGAATACGAACGAGAAAGAAAGATATATATATATATATATATATATATATATATATATATATATATATATATATAGAGAGAGAGAGAGAGAGAGAGAGAGAGAGAGAGAGAGAGAGAGAGAGGAGGGAGGGAACGAGAGAGAGAGGGAGAGGGAGGGAGGAAGATTCAGAATGTTAAAGATTTTGTGAAACTCGACCTTGGCTACCAGATCGACCAAATTTAGAAAGGAAACCAGGAAATAACATGGGTAGTAAAAGTGATGGTGTGATGTTAATGCCATCGCCCATCGAGTGCCTACTGGTCTAGAAAAAATGAGTCTAGCACAGGGTGACCATAATATGGTGAGCTGAAAACGGAACATCCTGCTAATATTTGGAGCTGAAAACGGAAAACCCTTCTAAAATTTGGAGCTGAAAACTGAACATCCTTCTAATATTTGGAGCTGGAAACTAGACATCCTTCTAATATTTGGAGCTGAAAACTAGACATCGTACTAATTATTGGAGCTGAAAACTGGACATGCTACTAATATTTGGAGCTGAAAACTAGACATCCTACTAATAGTTAAAGCTGAAAACGGAATATCATACTAATATTTGGAGCTGAAAACAGAACATACTACTCATATTTGAAGCTGAAAGCGGGACATCCTACAAATATTTGAAGCTAAAAACGGG